CATTCGATTGAAACTCGGGCTGTGCTTCAGTCTCTCCAGCAGTGCCAAATCGACTATCAGTAGAGCTGGAGGACGTCTTCAGGCTTCTGGACTAGACTAGACGTCACCCACCTCCGATTTGCTGATCATATAGTCATGGCTGAAACCATGGCAGAACTTAGCACAATGCTAGGGTCTTAAAATGAACATGGATAAGATGAAAAGAAGTAGAAGAATCTTTTTATTCAGGCTATTGAGATATGATATTTGTGATAGTTTGTACTGACTGGATACAAGGTCAGTTATTGAATTTGGGCTTAAGATTTCCACCTTCAGACTTGTTTCATTGATCAAGCCTCATCCACCGCGCATAAGTCTCTGTTCATATAATTGCTACCATATAGTATTATTTATCTATCTATCAAGTTAATGGATACTTTGAACGTAACACCTACATTAATTTTGAAAGTTTCTCGCAAGAAAATGTACAAAAATTATATCAAATACCCATGTCGCACCCACTCCAGTGAAAATTTGAGAATCTTTGCTGAAAGTTTTCGACAATTACATATACCCAGGACACTATCCAGCTTTGAAAACCGGTCAATCGTAAATTCCAACTTGACTGGGCAGCGTTCGGGAAGCTGTGTGTCAAAAATACCGCAGTGTCTCAAGTCGAAAGTTTTTGAACAGTGTATGTTGCCAGTAATGACTTACAGCGCAGAGACGTGGTCGCTCACAATGGGCCTTATAAGGAGGCTCAAACTCACTGAAAGAGCAATAAAGAGGGCAATTCTCGGAGTTTCTCTGCGTGATCTAACCATTACTGTGGAGATCCGCAGACGAACCATGGTCACTGAGATTGCCCGGAGAAAGTACAAACTTAAGTGGCATTGGGCGGGGCACATTGCTCGCAGAAAAGACGGTCGATGGTGCCAAAAGTTTTGGAGTGACGACCACGTACTGAGAGACGGAACGTAGGTAGGCCCTCTACCAGGTAATCCGAAGAACTGGAGTCAGGTCATATCAGAATAACACCTAGACGTAAACATCTATCGTACAAGAAGAAAACGAAACGAAGAACGTAAACATCCTGACATTGAGAGTTTTTTTTTTTGCTTTTAATGTTGAACCGGGATAGTATACAAAAAACGGTATGAAATTGGAGGATTTCTTTAGTTTTTGGTCAATCGTTAAAGGAATTTAAAATTAAATAAATGTGTCCAAAATATAGTAGACCAAAACCTCGTTTCTAGAAGAGGCCTTTGTCCAGCAGTGGACTAGTAAACATTCGGGTGACGAATTGTATTAAAATACGAACAATAAATAGCTGCCATCTTGTTATATCGAGGCTAGGGCATATTTCATACCCGTGCCCCGTGGTTTTCATCAATTGTGTACTTTTGTTTAACAATACACGGCTTTTCAACAAGATAGAATTAAATAACTAAAAACATGAACGCCGATGTATCAAAGTATATTCTCTACTTCGTAATTAAAACATAATCGCGTATTCTCCTATATTCTATGTAGCCATTTCATCAAACTGCACAATGACAATGATACAATAAGCTATAGAATCTGGCACAGTTGTTCGCTAATAGCTAATAGCAGTCTATAGCCGACGCAGTACATAATTATCGAAGCAACTGTACCATGAAGACATCAACAATTGCAGCTGGATGATTGACTTGTATGACAACAATTGTAATCCAATAAGAAAAGGCAGACAGTGTTTGTAATTGGAACTATTTTAAACTGAACTGTGGATTCTGAAGCACCTGCTTCAGAATCCACATATAAGATCTTACTTACGATTTTGTTATGAATACCCGCTACATGACTGCCTTTTGCCTATATTTTTGACAGCTGGGGAACTCATAAATATAAACCCTCACAAATGTGATCATGTTGATAAGTTACCAAAATAATTTGGCTATATTTATAAACTAATATTAGACTGCTTTTTGGACTGTTACGACCTAGCCGAAGGTCAATTACGTTATTTATATGTGGTCTCATTTGGTAGGATATTATCTTTAAAAAAATCACACAGGAGAACAACCTTGTAAATAAATGAAAAGTGTATTTATTTTGTTGTTAAATTAAGAAAACCTCTGAATCAATCGTGATGTATCTGAACAACTAAAAAGACCTGAATTAGAACGTAAGAGACAGTTTGAATAACGTAGATGTATTTCAAGAGTAAAACTTATCCCGACAATAATTATTAGTTAAAAAGAGTATTGAATAATCGCTTGCAAGCTCACTAGTTTTTCTCTCTGTGGTTAAAGTGACAGAAAATGTATTTAGCTGCATGGTGAACATTATAGAGAAAATGTATTTAGCTGCATGATGAACATTAAAAGTGAAAGGACAAACATAACAGTTAAGGTTACTGAAGTGAAGAGTACGTAAATAATTTTTGGTAATTTTTTACGTTTTGGTTTAATAATAAAAGAGGTAGAAAATTATTAGGTTTGAGATATGTTATTTCATAGTGAAATCTTTCAGAAATGATGACAACTACAGCCCCTTTAACTATCTAGGTCAACTTATCATGTAACCCTTTTTTTTTTTTTTCCGTGCGGAAATCCCCTCGGATACCACCTATCGGTGGCATGTCGGACTCGAAGCGACTAAAACCGCACGCCGTCTCGGGTACTAATAGCCGGGGAACCAGGTATACCCTAGAAAGGAAGTCCCTGTTGCCCGACATACCTCGGGCCATCTACAGACGAGTAGACGACCCCCCCCCGTGTGGGAACCCCATGTTCCCTCTGCTCCCCGGAAGCGAACGCGCTTCGCAACGCGCTCGCCGCCACCCCGGCTGCTTCTGCTAGGGTGACAGATGGCCTCACCTGTCACCCCCAGGCCTGCGCTTATGGAGGACGGAGGTCATAAACTTATCATGTAACCCTGTATAATGGATTGGGCCGCGAATTTTACTTAGATTCATATTACGTAAGTAAACCTACTGGCTCAAAATGGCATAAGTCACTGGATTGTTTACAGATTTGTTAGATGCAAAATGATCCACTAGATTTATTGACATTTTGAGTTCAGAAAAATAAACAGCTCCACATTCTGTAAAAAAATGTTACAAAACAAAGATAACACAGTCTACTATCTATCATAAAATTTTACCACACCTTATACCAAACAATTATTTCCAGTGATTTACATTTTTGACTCACACACTGTTAGAACTTCACTAACGACATGAATGTTTCAAATAAGATTGTTTTGCTGATATATTCAATGATTCAAGTATCTTACAGAACAAAATTGCATTACAAAGTCAATCCAATCCTAATAACCGAGGAACCCTATTGTGTCGGAGCATCTAAACAAAAACCTTTCAGTTGATGTACTAGGAATATTCAATGGGTGTCTGCCGCAGCAATTTCCACATTATTCATGCCAGATGAATATTCATCTAGCACAGTTTGACCCACCATTAATTGTTATTGCCTGGTGCCTGTTAGCATGAGACATACTAACTTAAAGACAGTCTAGCGTTTGGCTAAAATCTTGGTAAAATAAGTAGAAGGGGTTTTTATTTAGGGTATTGAGATATTATGTTTTTGATAGTTTGCACGGACTGAATACTTTTCCTAGAAGGTCAATTGTTGAATTTGGGTTTAAGATTTCTACATTCATACTTGTCTCTTTGACCGAGTTAGTTTACCCGGATACTTTGAACCGAATACCTCCATTAATTTTGAAATATTCGCGTTCCATGATCTATAACCACGGGAAACTTAACAGCCTGTGATTACGGCCAGTGTAACCTGGCCGAAACATCAGGCAACTCAAAGGTATACCTTGTGACCGCGTTAATCCTCGTATACTTCCATAATTAATATCACCATAATCTTTTCAAAAGTATTTTGTGTTACTCCTATTGACACATTTGTTTATGACTTACTTGCGTCATATCATTTTTGGACTTCTTAAAAGACTACAAGTTTTCTAAATTATGTTGCTATGTAATCGCCCTATATCTTTTATGGATCAGACCTTCAATTTGTTAAGCTCATCGATTTTTATTGCAAGTTTGGCATGAATATTGATTTTTAGGTCAACAACTTAACTTTGTATCGTTTGTTAGTATTTATGTCTCTCATTGTTTCTATAGTTTCCGATGTCCGAGACTAAAGTAGACAAAGACAAAATGGTCGTCACACATGAATATGGCAAGCTTTGTTTTGCAAATTATTTGTAATATTAAATATTCATAGTTCATGTCGATAAAGCCAATGACTACAATAGCTTTGTTTGTTTTGATTATTGATGGAGTAATGTAAATTTTAATGTTTTTGTGAATTTTCTTTAGGAACTTTGTTTTGAAATAGGTAGTGTTTTTTTTATTTTATTTAATCTTAAACAATTGCATGTAACATGTTTAAAAATTAAAACTTATTTTAATTTATTGTCAATAAATTGGTTTCCATAAAAAATTTGAAGTTAAATTAAGGCAGATTTCTGAAGCCCACTTTAGATTTTCATTGTTTAATAAAATTCGTTTTTACAACGAAATAGGTTTACGCGTAGTGACGCCGACATCACCAGACGATAGATTGATGTATTGTGTATGTGTAGACTATTTACTGACTTATTCTAAGTATTACTGATGTTTTTATTATAAGTACATTACTTAAGTACATTTTCATTTATACTTTAGATCCAAGAATAGTTATCAGTTATTGGCAGTTTAAATATACATATATATAAGACACAACTTTTTTTGATAATTATAATGAATGGCAAACTATGCCGATGTCGACAATACTGCCAATGTCCTGTGTGCAATTGCAAATACATGGTTTTATAGAAAAATTATTCAACGAAATACTGCTTTGCGAATCGATTATTTCCACATTCATTTAACAGTATTTTGATAAATATTAACCTGTGTCAATGGAAACAAACCTAAATAAATAATCAAAATACGTTTAACTACGTTTATAGTAGGTACTATATTTAATAGAAATAATAATTTATAAATTTGTCTACAGATACAAGAGAAACGGGTTTCGTGAATGCTATCACAGCGGCTGGGGTAACGTACTCCATCACCAGAGCGTGCACGGCGGGATCCCTACTAGAATGCTCTTGCGAAAAGGTACGCATGTCAACTTCAATTAAACAAACTTCAAAAAATACAATATTACGTTGATTTTTCTTTTAATGATTATTATATACTGACTGCACGGATGCCGTAGTGGTTTAAGCGGTCACCTCGTCGCTAACTACTACGCTGGGTGTTGTGAGTCCGATCCCCACATGGGACGACACTTTGTGTAATCCAGTAATTGTTGTTCTGAGTCTGGGTGTTCTTTGTGTCCGTTTCATGTATATTTGTAAAGTCCCCCGCGACACAGTATATATTCCTAATGCGGGAGTTATCTTTAAATATATATATATATATATATATACGTGATCACATAATATCAATGTTTATGATGTATGGTTAATTATATACACGTCTGATCTCAAGTCTGAGGCTGTATATTTGCAAATACATACAAATTATAAATACGCCCAGATGCAGAACGAGTCATCATCACTAAATATTTGTCCTGGGTGGGGATCGAACACAATTGACAATTGAGAAGATTTTGTGCCTAACTTTTTACATCATATTTCAAGGATCATATTTCCACTATCCATACCACAGTTAATATAAATGTAGCGTTGTTGAAATCTATGATTTTATTAAGTTGTAGTTGAAAATTAAAAGAACGACTACGCTGAGAATATTCACAGCATAGTCGTTCCTTTTAATTTATTTTTATCTCTTGTAACATAATCTTCTACATAGATTGAAAGAAAACGCTACAACAAATATTATTTCTCAGGGAGCACCGAAACCACGTCGCGGTCGTGATTCAATATCGCTCCCCCCCTCGCAAGTGCCAACAGAGAGGTGGCAGTGGGGAGGATGCAGCGACAATGTACGCTTTGGTCTGAAAAAGTCCAGGGAATTCATGGATAGCCGATACAGAAAACGGAGCGACATTAAAACATTGATTAAACTACATAACCATAATGCTGGGAGGTTGGTTAGTAAGATTTTCTTTTGGACGTGAAACTTACCTTTTATTTGGTTTCAGTTTTCAAAATAAATACTAACATGTATTAGTTTCCCTTATATCAGAACAAATGTTTCGAACTCAAAATATCTTTATTTCATAATATTGATTTAAATCGTCTTTATGTAGACTCTAAAGTCATAGATCAACACACACAATAGCACAAATCTTTGTTTTGTCAAATATTTATCTGTTTTAAATAATCCAAATTTAGTCGTATTTATTCAAGTTGTTTTTTTTTTCTTGGAAGTTATATTTCATGGTTATATAATTTTATCCAGAATTCAATAAAATAATAAAATAAAATAGGTGAAGCTCAGTACTAGACTAAAGTTGAAATTTACAAGATCTCAAAGAAAATTACATTTAATGATATTAGAATACCATTAAGTGTAATTTTCCAAAAGCCCAAGTAGCCAAAAAAGCAACTATAATTTTTGATAACAACAAAAACAAAACAATAAAAAAAAAAGTAAAAAAATAATAATAATTTGTTTTCTAGGCGATCAAGAATAATATGAAAATAGAATGTAAGTGCCATGGACTATCGGGTTCTTGTACCTTAAGAACCTGTTGGTGGAGAATGCCAACTTTTAGAGAAGTAGGAGATAAACTACGAGACAGATTTGAAGGCGCTGCAAAGGTGATTATTGTCTTACCCAGCTAAGATTAAAGAAAAAATAGTTTTTCTGCAATAAAATATGGACCCTATAACATAGGCTATGTTTTAACTAGAAGGTTTTGTAATTTAATTTAAGCATTATAGTGAACATACACTCAAAACCACGTTAAAGTGGGGTTGGTGCGCCTTAAGTCAGTTATTTCGAATGTTGGTCGATGAAGGTGTATTTTAAAATTAAAATTTAATTTAACCCTCAAACGAGGAAGTACCTTACTCCATACACCATCATGACTTCTTGCATTTGATCTAGCTTACTAAGTAACATCACTTGTATTTTTGCCTTTACTCGTCAGTGTCTGTGTTACTATGTTTACCGTGGGAGATTTATGTTTCATCACATATGAGCTAACTCGACCAGGTTGATACCACGGTCTCACAGAAAACCGCTGTCAGGCAACTGTTCGCTGCTTTTTACCGAGTGAGTGAGGTGCTATTCTCTAATAAAATAGCTTTGCGTACAGTGCTGCCACAGCGTCGAACTTTAAACTAACTTTGTTTGAAATTCGACGCAGTGACGGCGCTGTAGCGTCGAATTTCAAACTAGAGAGACAATTTCTAATTTCTGAGAATAGCACTGCAAAGCCAAAGCCTCCTCCTCCTCTTTTCATAATTCTTGGCACACAAAGGGTCGCAAAGCACTTGTGATTCTTGAGTTTTAGGTGTGCATGGACGGCGGTAGTTACTTACCATCAGGTGATCTGACTGCTCGTTTGCCCTCTTTCCCACATCTTACACACGGCCGTCTGTTTCCAAACCAGGCAGAGCCTGTGCATATTTCTAAGTACATACATATTTTAAATAAATTACACCCAGACACAGAACAAATCATCGTGCTACTCACACAATTATTTGTTCTGGGTGGGCATCGAACCCACAACCTCCGGCTTAGCAGTCAGGGTCACTAACCACTACACCAATAGGCCCATCGGGCCATTAAATCGTAAAGGTAACTGTCCAAATACATAATTTTACAAGTGTTTATTTAAGTAAAATAAATGTAATAATGTTTATATTCAAATATGTTTTTGTTAGGTAATAGCCAGCAATGATGGAGACAGTTTCATGCCAGAAAGCCCTAGTATTAAAAAACCAGGCAAGAAAGACATCATCTACTCCGAGGAATCACCAGATTTTTGTTTGCCTAACATGAAGACTGGTTCTTTGGGAACACAAGGACGCCAGTGCAATGTGAGCTCGGCTGGTACTGACAGTTGTGATCAGCTTTGCTGCAGAAGAGGTTACAAGGAAACCTCTGTTAGAGACACTGAGAATTGTAATTGTCAATTTAAATGGTGTTGCGAAGTAATATGTGAAACATGCTACGTGAAACGAAACATACAAACGTGCCTATAATGTGATAGACGATTGTAATAAATGTATGATATTTAAAAAATAATGTGTACACTCATTTAAGATACTTTTAATAAATCTGAAATTTACCGATTCTTTTTCTATTTTGGTCGGTTTTTCCTGGCAACTTTTTGTAAATTTTCTTCGCCAGTTTGGTAGTCAGACAAATATGATAAAGGATCCTTATTCAAATCAAAGAATCCTTCAAATTCAAACGTAGTTTGGACGTATGTTTCTCGTTGGATTTACTGGGATTACTACCTTTTAGGTAACTTTTATTTTCGCCTATTTTATTACCTTTTAGATAACTGTTAGTTTCACCGCTTTTATTTTCACTGCTTAAATTTTCTCCTTTTTTATTTTCACTGCTTAAATTTTCACCAGTTTTATTATCACTTTTTTTATTTTTATCACTTTTATTTGTATCTACATTACTATCAGAATTTTCTTCATTTGTCTCATCACTGTTATCTGTCGTTTCTGCATTCGCGATACCAAGATATTTATTGGATTTTGGAATAGGCTTTAAATCTTCAATCGATTGAGGCAGTCTGTCTGAATCTTCAACTGCTGCAAAAAGTTTTTTACATACTGGCATATAAGTCTTGCTTTTCTTTACTATGTAGGTGTAAAGCAAATTTATTTTAAAAATATCAATCTCGCTAAAGCCATCCTGTACACCAATATAATCTCCGGACTGTAAAAAATAATTCCCAATTAAGAAGCGTCATCAACGGCAAAAAGTTAGTGCCACCACCCTGACACTATTATATAAACATATACATAATAAATAACCTAATTTTAAATTTCAGCATCTACATGTTTTTAGGATAGGATTGCCGCTATAAATGAACAAAATACTTTCTCTCTTTATATATATAAATGTTTAGTTGGTTTGTGTACGCTACAAAAGCTCAAAAAGTTCGGCCCTTGATTGAGCTTAAATTGTGACATGATGTACAAACCGCTTCAAAGATGGTTTTTATTTATTTTTTGCAACCAGAATTTGCCACAGCGAAGCGTGACAGGGTACAGCTAGTACTCTATAAAATATATTATAACTTAACAGGATATTTAATAAATGCTAACCGTAACATCGCACTAAAAAACATAAAAACAAAAACATGTGTAATGGGATTTGTTCCAATTTTATCCAAAGCCATTTAAGTATAGGGACATTTACTGAAAAAAAAAACCTGGTGCAGTGACAAATCTATCTGTTTAAACTTTGCAAGTCACGAAATAATACACTTAGCACACCAGACCTCTTGAGTTATAATTATTTCGACGTTTATAACAGTAGCTACACCGCGAGTACGTAGAGACTAGTCGGCAAATGTGAAGAAAGATCAGTATCTACGAGTATTAACTACATATATTTTTGGTTAACAGTCTGGTTTTGGTTAAGTCTCACAAATAAAACTTAGACCTCACATCTTTCGGCGCTAGAAGAGTTGTTGCTACTTGCGATATTTTACATGTTAAATTTTTGATTGCATGTAATTGACTGTAAAAATTGTGTAAGAATATTACCTTTATTTTAATGGTAGCACCTCCGCTAACAGAATTTTTGTGTTGATGAAAATGACCAGCACTTTCAAAATCGTAGCGAAGGTCGTGAAAGAGCCAGTCCTGGTCACCCAATTTTTGATAAAGATACTTTTTTTCTGCAAAACAGAATAATATGTACAAGTGTGTGTTTTATATTAATTAATAGACGATCTGTACTTATGACTATGTCTGCGTTCGTCGAAACATAGGCACGACACAACATATTATATCATGTTCACATAGGTACATTATTTGTACAGAACTTTGCACTTTTAATTTTTTCACATTTTTAATATGACGTGTGAGACGTGTGATTTAAGTGACGACCGAATGGCATAGTGGTTTATGTAACGGACTGCTATTCCAAAGGTCGCGGGTTCGATTCCCGCTCAAGTCAAACATTTGTGTGCATGAACATTTAATGTTTGATTTGGTCTGGGTGTTTTCTATGTATAATAAGTATGTATTTACAAAAACAAAAAGTATATATGTATTTATATCAGTTGTCTAGTACCCATAGTACAAGCTCTGCTTAGTTTGGGACTAGATGGCGTTGTGTGAATGTGGTAAAAAAAAAAAAAAAAAAAAAAAAAAAAAAAAAAAAAAAAAAAAAAAAAATATAGAGAAAATCGAAAGCACCCTAAAGTACGAGTAGCAGTAACAGTAGCAAAAGTACGTACCTGGTATTATGTTTTCTTCCACAACTTCGATATATTTATCTCGATTTGGAGCATTGTGCTGTGGTGGTACCCCAGCTAATGCCAATACAATCTCAGGAAGACCTGCCCTTGTCGCTAAACAATCATATCCTAGGACAACCCGCTGGGAAGATAAAAATAAGAGACAATTTTCATAATTTCTTATCCAAGATCAGCTACTTACTTAAGTGATATTGTAACATAAATAAAAATCATTTTGGGTAATGCAATAAAAAGAAAAAAAATTTTAGAGTAAGTGGGACACAGTAAAAAAAACTACGACCAAACAAATAGTTGTTGTATTTAAGAGCACTGTTAGTTTTAAGAGGCGACAAAATATAATACACAACCAGAACGTCCAAAAATCTAGTATAAATAAATATATTTATACTAGATTTCTTGATGTTCTGGTTGTGTAGTATATTTAAAAAATATATACTAAAATATAAGGGTGTAAGTATTTACTTATACCAATATATTTTAGTTTTATTGTAGTGATATGAAAGTATGCTTCAGTTTGTACTCTATTAGACAAGAGCCTAACCGTTATAAATACCGTAATAGACGATACATTCTTAGCAGTATATAAATGGTCGAAAAATGTAGTTAATGGTGTAAGTAATTAAGTAAAAATCGACCTGACTGAGTAAAAGAAGAAGAAGGTGGGGTGGTAGTATATACGTGTTTAATCGGGTCGATTTTTCCTCGTATACTGCTAAGAGTTTTTATTTCCTGAAACATGATTGACCCTGGTCTATATGGATTACGTGTATAGACATAGACCTATTAATCTTGAAAAAAATCAAGAAAAGAACGAAAATATCAATTGACTTTTAATCATAGACGTCTCCGACTTTTTATTAAGTGAAGTATGCATATTTCCGCTACAAACTAAATGGTTCCGCTACAGAATGCTATGTTAAAAAAAGTTATTTTACCTGTACTCCTCTCAAAGTAAAGTTTGACATAGAAACATCATGACAACCTAAGTATGATTGGCGGTTTAAGAAATAAACCCATCGTTTTTCATCGTAATCTACTGGTGGTCGCGGCAGCTCTATGAAGTTAAGTTTGGTGATGATATTCACTTCATTGAGGAACCAACGAATTCTGTCGCGTACAGACTTATCTGAACAAAGAGATGAACCCTTTTTTTATTACACAAAACTCACCGTATCTTTCAGATTCCCTAGTGTTTGTTCGTTGCCTCTGTTTTGTAGCTATATTACATTATTTGTTTAGTAGACTGTCTAACACGAAAATAATTTTAAAAGCAGGATTCAGGATTTCATTAAACTCTTAATTGAATAGGGGCACAACTCTTCAGCTTTTAATGGACGGATATTATAGATGTTAAAAATTAAACATTGTTTGTTTATTATATTGATTTAGATTTTAAAAAAATAACGAAATCTAAAATACTGAGTTCTATACAGGGTATCATTGAATGAGTTATTGTCACAAATCATTTATAATTAATCAAGGTTATTGTTCGAGTCTTACACAGGGTGTTCCTGATGTCCACCTGTAATACGTTCCATGAACGTAGTTGGACCAATTAAAATAGTTTTCCATGAACGTATTAGGAGTATTTTTATTAACTCAGTTGTTTTCCGAGAAAAACATTAACGTAGAATATTCTGAAACTCACTACAGCTTTATACTGCAACATTAGGGTAGTGAAGCAAGAACGCAGTTTGTAAAGCAATAATTGTGTTGTTAATACTCTGAGTTTGAGGGACTCATTTAAAAAACTTACCAGAAAACGAGGGTATATCTATATAAAATGGAATCTCTCCTTTATCCCAAATTTTAAACTTTTGGCGTTCTTCATCATTTAGATCAAATCCTGATTTTGAGTCCAAACCGGTTCGAATAGACCTTAGTATAGGACTCCTATCGCCTTGCAGTATACTCTGTGCGTACGATGAGAAGACAGGTTGTCTGCCAGCAAGGTATTTTTTCTGGTTACCTACAATGCTTGGAAGGGTTCCTGAATGAAAAAAACAACAACAGTTATTTTGGATAGCTGAAAGTGAATCGGTGAGTATTGATATCACCTTTTTTAAGCTTAATTACTGCGTAACTTAATAAATAAAACCGAGTAACAGAAACGGTTGACTAGTACCTTATGTATTAGTTTTTCTTTGGGACAAATAAATTAAATTGATGTGATCACGTCACAAGTATTCTCATCAGTCCTCATTCATCATCAACAGCCTTTAATAGTCTACTGCTGGACATAGGCCTCTCCTTAGAAAGGAGGTTTTGGCCTTCTATACCACTCTGGCCAGACGGGTTAGTATAGGGTTTGTTTCAAGTTTTCCTTCTCTTTGCAGTGCTGTTGTCCTGCTTAATTTTCTTCCTAAGTCGGCTCTTACGACTCCCATGGGATGAACAGGGGTGGTGACACTCTGTATTCTTAATCCGTCATCACATGTATTGAATAATACATAATCCTCATTAGATAAGCTAAATGCGTGGTGGCAGTAGGTTCAAGCTAATACTGCCATCAATGCAGAGAAGGTTAGCAGCCGCAACCTTACACGTAAGTACTTACTGTAAGTACTTTACTTGACTTATCACAAAAATACTAGCAGGGACACCAACAATGTTCACTATCCGTGATACCGTGGATACTTTGCCGCAGGAGAGACATGTTTGGCACGTATGCGCCAGGCTCGACCAGCAGTGCTATTCTCTAGGCAGCGTTCGTTTGAAATGTGATGTCACAGTTAGTTTAAAGTTCGAATAGCACTGCTGGTGTAATACCACGGCCTCACAGAAAACCGGCTTTTTACCGAGTGAATGAGGTTACCGGAGCTCAACTTGTACTGGAGGCTCAAAAGACGGCAATTCTCTTGTGATTCTAGATTTCAGGCATCACCTACCGTCAGAGAGCCAAGTGCGAGTTTATTTCACTTCTACTCGATCGTCACGGTGACCGCGTTTGGCGCTATGATTGGCCCGCGCTGAAATCTCCACCAATCGCAACACTAAACGTGCTCGCCATCGAGAGCGAGTCGATGTAAAAAACTAACACTCAGCCCTCAGGTGACGCTTTGCTTGTTTCACCCTTATAGTATAAAACAAATCTTCACCAAGGAAAAAGTATCGAAAAAGCGTTCTTTTAAAGACCAGTTGTTCTCCCTCCTTGACCCATCTTGAATTCTATCACAAATACCACTCATAAAATTACTGCTATGTCAAAATGGGAAAAGTGTTCCTGTAAGGTATTGTATTACTAATTAAGTGTCTTTGTATATTGTACTAGTGTCTATTAAGAGCATATAGCTATATATATATAATAGCAAAAAGTGTAATACTTACCGCTAGGGTATATCGAAAATATAATAAAAAATATACTCAAACATTTTGTATGCGCTTGTTCAAACATATTTATGTAAAAGATTTATGCAAACCATATTTTATTGGCAATAAAACAAAAACGCAATAACTGATAACAAATACATTTCAATAATTGAGCGTTTTTATGTAAATCATTAGGGTACGTTCCTACGTGGTGTATGATGATTAAATATTTAACAGTGTTTTAGGTAGTTATTAAGGCATGATGAAATTAACGACTAATAAATTATACATAGTGCATAAATACATATTTTTGTTATTTTTATATAAATATCAAATACTCGATGGTCTTAGTGGTAGTAGATGGTATCCAAAGGAGTACCTGTCTTAAAATGAACATGGATAAGACGAAAATTATGTCGAACACCCATGTCGCAGCCACTTCAGCGAAAATTGGAGACTCTCAAGCTCGAAGATCTTAACGACTACGTGTACCTAGGGCAAACTAACCAGTTCGGTAGGTTCAACTTCGAAAAAGATTTCAATCATCGAATCCAACTTGGCTGGGTACCGTTCGGGAAGCTGCATGATATTTTTTCGTCCTAAATACCGTAGCCTCAAGACAAAAGTCTTCGACCAGTGTATGTTGCCAGGGATGACGTATGGCACAGACACGTGGTTCTTCATAATGCGGGCAGCATAGGACCGGTTGTTGTGGCTAACCTTGGGGGAGGCCTATGTTCAGTGGACGTCTGTCGGCTAAGATGATGATAATTATATTACATGCAGAAACAAAAATTGATTCAGGTTATTTGGTTATCTTGTTCTCACAATAGCTAAAACGATTGTTCTAGGATGTCCCTGTAGTACATTACCATTGCAACTTTCGCGAGTGTTGTGGCGGTCTGATACTCTGATCTGACCTGAAACATAGTATATTTTTACTTTGTTCAATAGCGAGGACATACATACCACGAAAAAGTTTGGAGCAGTAATAAGTACACCAATATTGTAGTTAAAAAGTTCCCGGTACAAATGCTAAAATGTGAACCATCCGTCTAGACTATGGTTGCTAGAGTCTGCGGGCCTAGTGAGTATATTTTACTTGAACTCGATCGTAACGGTGATCGCGTTCGGCGTTGCTATTGGTCCGCACTGACTATCGAATTGATGTGAAATAAACTCACACTAGGCCCACTGAACCCACGATTATTGAGATGACGTTTGTATAGAGGACAAAAAGACCGCAGAGGATCCTGTTCCTTCACAGAGGCAGATAACTGAAGTATTGAGACAGCCGAGCATTCATAACTACTCTTCATTTTGTGTTTCTGTGTAATCTATATGAGTAAATATTTTTTAGCATTCCATACAATACGCAATGCTTTAGAATTCACTTTTTCATTTTTTCTTACACACAACACTCAAGAAAACTCTTAGGTCTTACAAAGTGATCAGGTAACTGTAGCCAATACCTGACAAAATCTAAATCTTTAATTAATAATGGATAAAAATCGTTTCAACTCTTTGCCTCCTTGTAATTTTAAAAATATGGGTATTCTTGTATTTTTAGGTATGGTTGTTGTATATTTTATGGCTCTTGGGTAGTTACATTAATACACAGTTTTGTTTTATATTTGTACAAAAATAAATTAAATTAGCAGAACGTAAGGTATTTTAATAATTATTCGAAAAATAAAATTTTGGATATGATGCCCCATTGATTGAAAAATCTGAATATCCATCAGTTTTGGTTATCAAAAAAATATTACATATTCTTACCAAAAGCTATAAGCGGGAAATCTAACCATTTATAGGTATATCTTCGAGTATAAGCTGACTACGATTTACCTGAAATGTTGGACAGAACAGAAAGAAAACATAACCACAACGGAACCTGACCGGGTTTAGCTAATTTCACACAATCTTTGAAGCTCAAGCTACACAATGTAGCCAGATAAATAAACAGCGGAACGAAATTCACTCACCAACAATCTTTTTGCATGAAAATTATTCACGGTATTTCAGGTTCAGCCGCGCCGTCCGTATCTCTTATGACAGATTTCTCAGTTCATAAACATAAATTTTCCAGTGGGCTCGATACTCGTGGGAATACACCTCAGGGCGCGCTCGACCACCAACACTCAACATCTTTTCACTTTCGAGATTTAATCCAAGTGAAAACGTACCCTAACTCATGGATCTACGGTTTATTTTATAATTTTGTTACTCAAAATATACTCAGCTAGAAAATAAAGCTGTTTCAGAAAATTGCAAGCTATCAAAACTACAACGGTTGCCTTCGTAATAAAACAAAATGACGATAGGAATTCAGGGTTGGCATTTCTTTTGTTACGTGATTTAGCTCAGACCCATTTTGAAATAAAAATTAAATATATTGAGTTTGCGTTTCGTACGATTTCTCTAATGTAAAAATTCAATATAGATGCTACCACTATATACTACCTACTTTTATATACATATTGAAAGTCTTCTCTTTCTGTGTTTTCATTGACTTGTCCCAGCATATTTTTAGACATGGTTTTCTTACATTATTATCAGCTTAAAAGGATTAAAAAGTCTTCCTATCCTCAACAATATAAGTCCATTACACAACCCTAATCGAAAGTTGTTTAAATACTCGTAAATGTGCGTGCATAAATTTCAAAATATGACATCGTTTATTCATAAGACATCTTTGTTCATGTACGGGTAAATGATGTACCCTATGCATGTACACGCTGTAAGAGTAAAAGAGACAAAGTAAGTATTAACAATAATTGACACATATCTCTCATATCTTGACTTGCACGCACATCTTTTCCACTAACTCCTATTGTTTTATCATCATCCTACCCTGTTCCTAATTTTATTTCAGGTCCACGCAATATGTAATAAGGATTTTAGTTGGTTTCGGTATCGACGTCGACGTCATCCCTTCTAGTTAATGTAATCGTTTTCATACTAGCAGTAAATGGTGGTAATGAAAGTGGATAGGGCAATTGAGCTGGTTTAATAAGGGCTAATAAGAGTTTAATAAGTCCTTTAGGAGATCGCAAATCTTAGACTGTAAAACGGAACCAAGACTGCAATGCTAGCTTTTATGTGCCAGCAGTGGACTATTATAGGCTGTTAATGATGATGATGAGGCCGGGAATATTAAGTGGTGACCTTCCCTTTTGATTTCAATTCCTTTGAAGAAGAAATATTGTGCCATAATGTTCTAACGCCCATTCCTCTTCAATTTAAAAATGGAATCAATTACAATTTAAAAATTGAAAAAGAACAAAGCTAAAATAATAAACCAGAAGCTTCAAGTTTTTGATCAATTTAATATTTTTAGTAACAACTAATCAATATTTTAATTATAAATAGATACTGCTAATGTACAACCAATATTATAATAAATTGTTTCAACCCCCAAAAGGCGATTGCTGGACGAAATATATTTCAAAAAGGTACATTTATACAATAATGAGATTTGAGATTCAGATAAGTTCAGCTGATTTCAATTGTATTTTATCTAATATTAACAATTTAAAATGCTAATTCACATAAATAACTTAAAATAATATATAAGGACAATATTTACATGCATAACATAAATTGTACAATGACAATATTTCATTACGCTGAATAATAATTTTGATAAAAACTGGCAGCAGATGTCAGGTGTAAAAGAAAAGTTAAAAATGGCACTTAATCGATATGTGAAAATCATAACACTGGTTTGCAATTTAAAAAAAGAAATACATTAAAATACTTTTTTATCACATTAGCTATCATGATATAATTCAAAACAATGGCTTTATAGATCCAGTCATGGATAATTATAACTACGAAAATTAAAAAAAACTTCAGTCTTTTAAATCCGACGCGGTATCAGTTCTTCAGACTCTGTCAAATTTTGATTCATGTATAGTTTTATATTATACAGAGATCCGATTCAATAAGCGCATTTTAAATAAGTTGATAACTACTCCAATACAGGTATTGGAATACTTTTAAATAATACCGAATGTTTTAACATCGGATTTTTTTTTCACTAAAACTAACGTGTTATTTTACTTTAAAAATATCATTTAATATTTTTAAAGCAAAATAAAATAAATTAAAACAAGTTTTTTGTAATAAATATTTTTTATATAAAACATACTTGACGAGTTAGAATATTCAGTGTAGCAATTACACGATGAAGCTCAGTAGGATTTCACTACCTATATTCTATACTTACTGGCTACACTACGTTTATATCACATATTATAATGAAGTATCATTCAAGTTGATATAATTACTTGTACGATCAATAAAGTTTCCACATTTACTCACAAACTGTCGAATTTGGAATGTCACTATTTTTAGTCTCAAAGTATTGCCAAATCAAAAAAAAATATTGTCAAAAGAAAGTCAGTGTTAATTTCAAAAGAGTTTTATAGTTAGTCCTAAAGTCTGTCCTAAGTTTTGTATAAAAAGTCTAAATGTGTAAACTCGCCAAGTGAAGTATTGCAATGCAAATTGACTAATTACTGTAACAGTATATCTAAAAGTATCGAATTATGTTACTGTTGTAGTAACACATGCATTAAAATACATTAAGAAGAGTTAAAATGGACGAGCTCAGGTATATAATGTGTAAAAAGTGTCAAGCAATATCGCGTGCAACACTATCGCGGAGTATCGGACGCAACACGCATACAATATTATATGTATAATACTGATTATTTAATTCGTTTAATATTTAATTAAAATTCTCCAGAGCGTTTATCTCGTAATGTGGGACACTTTTACGATGGCGCTACTTATTCACTGATAAGGGCCCAACGCTACCGCCGCATCTGAACACCCAAGAAGACACTTTATGCAAATGCCATTAAGCCACAAATTCCATTAGCCAGCTTAATTATAATACGAATTATAATTACAAGATAATTTTGCTGTTGAATCTCAAAACAGTTATGCGAGCATACATCCAACGCGGACGTCTATAAAATAGAAAGTATTTATAAAACTTAAATGATTATTACCGTAGTTACAATAATTGCAAATAACTTCTTTGAAAAACTTGAGTATAAACTTTGGAATGATATTAAGAAATATCATTTAAAGTCTCGTACATTTTATGTCGCTTAAGTGTCACCTCGGGGTCCTCAGTCGAGTATACATCATACCTACGTATAAATTAATTACAGAGCTGACCGCGTAAGGAAAGCAATAAGACCAATTTAGAATAAATACAAAATGACCTGATGATAGGAATAAATCTTCTGTAAACTGGTCTCATTAATTTCCAAACGACAGTGTCCAAAAAAAATAAAGTTACTAGATCACATGTTCGCACTTAATAGACAAATAAATTAACCGAACGAGTAGCTTACTTTAATTTTACGCCGGATCAATTATCATGTATAAAAGAAGAAATAAACAGTGATAGAGAAACTATTTACATAAGTCAACATGATATACGATTTCGACGACTTCGATAGATGAAAAAGTGAAGTGATTATATACAAGGTCCGTTATCTGCCTCTGAATAAAAAACAGGTCCACTCTCGAGGCTGAGTCACACAACACATCTGTCCCACACTAAAGTTTCTCTTATTCATCACATCTTACTCGTCCGCTGATCTATAAACACGTGTGAACAACTTTTTCCGTACGACATAGTTTGCACTTGACTTCGCAGCACCAGTGAAAAGTGCAGTTGCACCTCTCCACAACGAACATCGTCTCCGTCCGATACCCTCGACCGCAGCACATAAGGTCGCAGCCGTCGACACCGATACTCGTGTCGTTGCAGGCACGCCCATGTGTACCGGGAATACCTAGTCTAGGATTCTTTTCGCAGAATCCTGGTGAAGATTCCAAATAGACAAGATCTTTAGCTCCCGGTGATTTATGGTCTGGATTATGAGGCCGGAGCTGGAACCTATATCTGTCTCTTCGAGGCACCCTGTGCGGTACTGCGTCGTTGCGTTGGGCCGGAACTTCCAGGTCTGTGTTTGGCATCATGACCCGAGAAGCGCCATCGAAGCGGTCCTTCAACGCGTCACCGACAGAGCGAAAACTGGGCAGCCTCATCCAGCAGGTCTTGACGGTGCACGAACCAGACATGCCGTGACACTTGCACTCCTGCCGCATCTCCGTTTGCACATGCTGTGAACAAAACTACTCGGTCAGCGTTCAGTGTTATAATTTATTCTATTTTAGGGAGGTCTATAATGATGTCCAAATATCTTTAACTTCCCCGATAAGCTTCGATACGATGTGATCGATGATCTTTTAAGCGCGCCCCATCGATCGCATCTCACGATCGAGCAAATTGTTACAAATCGTGAAGAGGTGGGCCAGTCGTCACCGCGCGTGGACTGATCATAAATCATACTCTAGAAACATCCATCATTCTTAGAAGGTAGATAAATGACGCGGGAATCGGAGACAGTAAATATTTTCCTATCTCGGAGCGCAGGCGCTTCGTAGAACGTTGTCGACGGTATTTATTCATTGACATGTAGATGGCCGGGTATGTTGTACAGACTAGTGTTCAAATATGTGTTAAACAATCGATGGAATGCTGTGAATATTCATCAGGTGGACACCCAGTGCGTCCGTCGTGACAGGAATTAAGCGCTTTGGTTAATGACGCGTCTGGGTGGCTCGGGGCGCCTGACGTCCCATTTTGATGAATTTTGGGAAGGAGCGGACAGTGGGTATGCAAATGTGGGTGTGCGGTGGGAGGGAGAAGCGCGAGCGCAACGAATGAGTGCCTGTTGCGCAGTCGTTGCCCGATGGGCCGAGCCGTGCGCCGTATAATTAATATTACATAAGCGACATGTCAAGTGGCGGACGATCGATCGTCACCTGTAAATGTAATGTAAACAGGAATGATGACAATGGCCCTCATTGGCCAGATGACAGATTGTTTTATAGATGTTTATAGTTGCTACCTTCAAGTGACGAGTGGATAAGACGGATGTTGTATTGAATGGTTTGACGATACTTACTGCTCTGCCAGCTTCGTTATTGTGTAGATTCATTTTTTCTCTGAGAGTCTTGCCCCGTTCACCCGTATCAACAAACTCTCTGCTGAATCGGAAACCGAAGCCAATATTGTCACTGCATCCGCCCCACTTCCAAACGCGCACATTGGCAGCGGCAGCAGCGCGGGTTCGGTGCGGCAAGCGGTCAATATGCGAATAGTCACACGTGCACGATTCTATGGATCCTTCTGCGCATGCGCGCGAAACTGCGTGTGTTACTCCAGCGCTTGTGATTGCGTAGATGAATGCTGTTTCTCGGCAACCTATAGGACAAGATAAAGATATATATATCTATAAAAGGTCACAAAAAAATACTATACCTACTGCGTTACTTCTCGGTTAAGAAATATTTAGTTCGCATTACCTATATTATAAAATACTATGCAAACCCATAAGTACATTTCTGAACTAAGGTATACATATTTCACTTTGGCATGTGTGGTATTCGTATAATTAATTCATTCCAACAACAGAGGGGTTCATATTTTAATCACATTTTATTATTGCTCCGGGGATAAAGAATCTCGACGTTTTAAAATATTTTAGGTATCATAATTTAAACATGCAAAACATTTGGACTCATCATGCAACTGCAATCCGAGGGATTGAATTTGCTTTGCTCTTTTTTTAATCGTATTATTATATTGACATTTTTAATTTGTTGACAGTATTAAAATCCTTTTCGAGAGCAATGGGCACATTAGTTTTTTAATTTCCTTCGTAAAATTCTATCTCAAGTTTCGACCTGTCCGTTCTCATTCTTAATAATATTCGTGAGTAGATCCACAATGTTTTTTCACTGATTTCTTAGAGAGTTTGAAATGGGCAGGAGAATAATCAAACCGAAGTGAATCCGTACGGTCACTGTGTTCAGAGCACCGACTAAGGTAATAATCGTTTGAAGGCAACAAGATCATTAAGTTTATATTCACACAATGAAACTTGAGCAATGATTGCATCGCGTTCATTCATCTCGTATGGACGAATACATAAATCGATGCTCGCATCCCGTATCGAATACTATAAATAATTAATGGCCCAGCATTAGAATCAAATACTCATAAAATACAATTAAAAGAGAGAGAGGGCATATCTCTGAGATTGAAAATAAAAGAAGTGGCTCTTACCTACCCGGGAGATTATAAATTTGATCATTACAAGTGGTACGGCGCGCGCATCGAATTCTCTCTCTTAATATCGATTTAATAGCCCGTGTACTTTAAACGACTAATATCATATCGAACCTTCGTAAACGCGAGAGAGAATCCATATTAAGATGATGTTATTAATTAAAACTACCTAGAAAAAATTACACGAGAATTGAATTGTGCTGTGTTCTGACATTACCTCGTAGACATTGTAATTTTACAGCACAATAACTCAGCTATTGTTGCGAGTAACTCATTAAGCCCTATAGGCGTCGAAGGTTATGATGAAATTCCTCAAAAGCTATTACCCTCCGATCTCGATTGCTAAATACTGAAATAAAAATAAAACTCACAACGCTTCTAACATAAGCGTAATCGCGTGTCACGTTCTCAACTAATGCCATTCATTTAGTAATATAGTGCGGGTCGCGCTCTTCTTTGGTGGGCTTCCGGCCACCGCAGCTCGTATCACAGAATACTTTCCTTAGAAAAAAACGAGCACCCCGTATGGATGTAAAAATAAGAAACGCGTATTTGTTGTTATTTATAATAATAATATGTGGAACAGGCCCGGAGGAGCCCAGCGCCAGCTTTATTAAGGACTCAATAAGCAAATGAAATCATTTTTTTATTAAGTTGTCATCGTGCACCGATATAAATTACGGTGCGCGCACACTGCCGTGGACCGCTCTCGGATTCGCTTTTTGTACTTCTCTTTGGGATGTTATACAAAAGTATTTTATTCAGCAATTACTTGAGACGTTCGACCGGGAATTTTAATGTCAATTTTGCCATCATTCAATGCTCGGACGAAATTAATTCAAGGGATACGTATAGGCACCAGTCGCAGATCCTGCATTTATCTTCAATAATGACTTGGAAATGTTCGTTCGCATTAACTATAACATATATGTCGAGCCAATTAAATGTGGCACACGTAAATAACGCTCATAAACGTTCATATTTTGGATAATCCGATTTAGTGTCATCTTGTATTGCGTCTCAAGAGATCACGATATCTCCATAAAACAGATGATCGACGTACTACACCCATAAGACAATGTTTGTGTTTTATTGTAGGCATATAAATCGGCGGAGGTTTCACGGATATCTGTTTTAGTGCGTTACAAGTGATCGAAGTTGGAGGTTGTACGGCAGGGTGCCTCGACCAGGTGGCACAGTTGCTTACACCACGTGCTGCGTGCTCCATCGCTCCGTTGAGTAGATAAATGTCGCCACATCTGCCCACTAACGTATGAATGAATGCCCGCTGTGATTTTAACATCGCTACTTTTACTTTATCTGAACAAGATCTAACGGTATGCAGCAACCCAACCAATTAGATACATAAACGACAACTGGAAACAATTTTTAATTGGTCTGTGAGAATTTAAGGCTCGTCTATCGATGATTCACAGCGCATTCACATCGGAGCTGGACCCGTTTGACATCGTCTGGTAGTATTTTGTTCTGTATGAAAAATAAACATTTATATTTATAACTATAGATAAAACCTTCCAATATTTCATCCCGGTGGATACGACGAATAACAAAGCCGATTGTCGCGTTTTGCGAATAAATTGCGACGTAGAAAAATTATGACAGATGTAAAAAGCCTCCATCGCATTAGTCACGGTATTAAATAAAATGTAAATTCAAAGTGGAGCCTAATTAAATGGCAAAACAACGTTAATCTGACACCAGTCGTGTATAACTTCTGATACAAATAGCCATCCGTTACCCGTCGTGTAAGCGTACTCAATATAATATTCATAATTAAGGCGCACTATTATTTTATTGTGGCAATTTTACCCCATCAAATCGCAGTCAAATAAGAACAAACTTGAGTAATGACAATCTATAAAAGTAAATTATTATTATAACTGATAATAAAGTGCTGTCCGTGGATTATCCGTGCAGATAATGAATGGTCCCGTGGTGGGTTTACAGCGAGAGCACCGAGCGATAATTCCATCCAGACGGATTGGCAGTTAAGGCCAGGCGAGGCGTTGAGAATTTATAAAAGTCAAAAACTCGTAAATCCGATCTCGCGTCTGCGCGAGCGCATCGCTCTGTTAAAATAAAACTTAATCACTGTTGACATTTGACGAACACCTGGCCCCGCGGCCACTAACCATTAAATAATTCAAAATTAATGTACTAATTAAATATGTTCCTGTCCCCATTGAGTCATCACGCCTTGGTGTTTCCACAAGATTAATTTGAAAGATTGACTTATGAAGGTTTTGCGCGTCGCGCCTCTTGTGCTTTATTTATGAGGACTTGCATTATTCAAATTTGATGAGACGTAATTACTCAAAACAGCCATAAATCATGCGTTTTATAATACGATGTTTGGCCGGTTTAGAAAACGTTCCGGCATACACGGCTTTATCAGACAACGATGAACTCACTGACGTCGTGTTATTCTATAATCTAAACACATCTTTATGAGTATATAATGATATTTTATCTACTGAAAGATGGACTGTGAAGATCATAAAAGGCCAGATTCTTCCTTTAATGAAATAAGAATAGTACTGATTGATGCATAGTCACAGAAATAGAAGAAAGAAGGTAATTTCGCCGTAAAGGCACTTGGAAGACGAGCAATAAAAAGCAATAATTCATTTTCGTTATGCCATATATGGGTGATAATTTCACATTGAGTCCGCGTCCCGAGGCTCCAGTGCGACAATTCAAAATTACGTCGGTCGTATATCACTCATTGTGAGTGGCACAAAGCACTGCCAGCTACCACTAGCTACCAGCCAACATCGAGACACCCATTCACACAATGGACAAAGACATTTGTTTTCAAACTCGAGAAAAAACACCAAAAATAATTTCGTTTTAAGTGAGCTGTCTATAAATAAAAGGCCAATCGAAAAGTTGGAAACTGGGATTCTGTCGATAAATAACATCAAACTGGTGACCGGACCGCCTTAATCGTCTCATTTCAGTTTCACAAAACGCGTGTTATCTCGAAAACAATTCAAACGCCACAAAACTTAAAACGCTTATCTAATTGAGCATTAAATATTTCGTCGAGCGCATTTTATATCGGCTTTATTTTCGGTGTCGATCGTTTTATACGTTTTATCCACCCACGACGTCGGCATCTCGGGTGCGCGTACGATACACACCAAAACAGGAAATATTTGAAAAAAGGTTGGGTTTTATTGGCCGAGTTACCTGCCATTAGGAGCTGCGTTAGGTGTAAACCTGGCTTCCGTAGAGCTTGTACGAGTGCAGCGGAATCGCTAAACTACACTACAGGGGTGCTCTGCGGGATCTCGGACCATATATTTTTCTATTCTCGACTCGACAATGACGCGACGAATAAAGCCCGTACTATTGTGCCGTTGTCATCATTTGTGTTAATACGATCCTTGAGGTTTACACCACAAAGAAATGAAGTTGTCGCGTCCGAGTGTCAATGGTGTGACAAGGTGTAAATTAGTAATTATTGATGTCGCATCCGGGGGGGCTTTGTGCCTTTGGCTTTTAATTATACTGAGACAGAACTATGCATTAACGTTGATTTCAAATTTAAAATAAGTATTTTTTGCGTTTATTGAGTAGCATTTTGACGGGCTCCCCGGGGATCTGTTCATTTTATGCCTTTCTCAAATGAACGTAATTGCAATGTATTAAATATTTTTATCGTGCGGTGGTCTGTAATATACTCGCCGCGAGATTCGCCCGCCTTGCCTGCCCTTAATAAAGTAATATGCTCTAAATGCACACGCATATAACATAAATTTTGTAATCCACTTGTTCTTTTTACCATGTGAAATTATTATGATGGTGGTCCGAGAACTCGTGCTATATTTGACTTTTAATTGGGAAAAATAGTACCGACTTTGCTCTTGCACCTTTTGTTAGGAATCAATATTTATTATTTTGCTCTAGGCCTTTTTTTATAGTTTCATTGTTGATTGTATTTATGCTCTTAGACAATGTTATTATTATTAACATTTCACTATCACAAACAGGTTTATCGCAAAGTTGAATTATGTTGTGTTATGTGAACTTTGCCATTTTATTTTTGCTGGTGTGATTGGTTGTAAATTTATACTCTTTCATGTAATTTTCCTTCAGCTTTCAGATTGTAGCCACACTAGACTTTACTAGATCAAATCTTAACATAGGTGTTAATAAAACTAGTACCAGCTACTGCAGTTTATGTAACTTGTAGAAAATCGATTTCCTATTATTTTACTGTGGTCATTACCTTAATCGCCTCGAGAACATAAATAGATATAACGAATATAACATATGACGTATATCTACATATAAATCCGTCCGTTTGTGTCGAGTTGGGGAGCGCCCGCGGCCATTATCGACCCATAGCTATACTAGATATTTCTTTACGACTTTTGTATAGTAATATTCATCTGTAGTATTCTTGTAAAGAAAAAAAAAATACAAATCATAACGTTACAATGTAAACATTCACCTAATTATGATTTGTTCTATATATGAAGTCTTCTCAGTAATATTAGGGCATTTAGAATAGAGAATAGAATAGAACTGTATAGTTTACAAATTCGTTTTTTCTTTTTTTTATGTCAGCGGGGATAGAGGAGCAGACGGGCTACCTGATGGAAAGTGATCATCGCCGCCCATGAACGTCTCCAACTTGGGAGTCACAAACGCGTTTGCGGGCTTTTTAGGAAGGAGTACGCTCTTTTCTTGAAGGTTTGAAGGTCGTATCTGTCCGGAAATACCGCAGACAATAACCCGTTTTACAGATTGGTTGGTCTTTACAAGAATACTACAGATGAATACTAGTACTAGTGGCGACGTTACCGCTACTGAGCAATCGGTTACAGGCTACCTTTGTGTATTAGATATACATAGAAAGAATGATTAAATATTTATTGAGCATACAACGTTTGATATCGATCAAAAGTAAGTAATAATTCATTAGGTTTTTATCAGTAAATATTTTAAATAAAGATTTAATAATCCTCTGCTGGACATAGGCCTGTAGGAGAGCCTTAGAAAGGTGATTTTGGCCTGCTAAATCACCTTTCGGGTTACGGGTTTGTATAGGGTAGGAGTATGTAAGTTTTCCTTTTCTTTGCAGTGCTGTTGTCCTGCGTAATTCGCTCCCTTAGTCGGCTCTTACGACATCCACGGGATAAATAGGGGTGGTGACACCCCGTATTCTTAATCAGTCACCACACGGAAAATACGATTAATAACTATTACGTTTTTCAATTGATGTTTTCGCAATCTTCTTATAACTTAGTTATAAACGTTTCGACTTGAGATAGTTACTATTTATAACTTAACAACCAGTTCACTTTTTATCATTCAGACTTCAAATACTAAGCAGAAGCCTGCACTTATTATAACAATGACACCTTGTTATGATCATTCTAAGTAGAAATGTCAAACTATTCGTAGGTTTGGAGTAAAATGTAAGAAGATCAAATACAATATTAAAATATATTACTACAGAGCCAGATGAGCAGCTGTGTGTTTGGCAACGTCTAACAGTATTCTATTACTCATAAACTAAATCAATAAAAGTTATGCTCATTGAATTAATAACGTGTTACATTAACATTTTACGCTCTGTGATCATTAACTACTTATTAATAGCCAAAAAGACACTTAATAGAGATATTTTTTTTTAATTTTAAGATAATATAATATACATAATATTAAATATCCTTTTTATGAGTTCATTTTCGTTTAAATTAAAGATTTTGGTTTTTTAAATAGTCCCATATTATAACTAATTAAGACGTCTATTAAATATGAATCTTCTCGATCGTAACAAAAAATATTCTAATGTTCACAATAAATTTTTATAGTAGGTACATTCGATACCAAGCGGTGCCGTTTTCCTAATCTCCAGCTAATGATAGCTATAGGATATCAGAGTCGAGGTACGTACAGTCAGGGGAAATATACTTGTACCAGCTACGCCCCGCGGTGTTGCCCGCGGTTTATCATCCGACGTGAACAAATTTAGCCTTTGCATTAACTCAGGGTGTCAGCTACCTCCATACCAAATTTAATCTAAATCGGTCTAGTTGTTTGAGCATGAAGAAGTACTTAACAAATATACAAAGATACATACAAACTTTCGCTTTTTTAATATTAGTCTGATTTAAAAAAGACACGGAGTCATACAATGAAGAGATTCCCGTTTAAAAGTTTTTTGTTGATGAACCTCGGCAATTATATGTTCGAAGAACAGTTTAATAAAAGTTTTATGTTTTAATATTGAACAAAAGTTTTCCGTAGAGTACCCTTCCAAAAAGTCCAAAGGTTCTGTGTAATTTGTTAGTAAACTCTAGAAGGATCTTTATTTGTAAACCACATTGAGGCCAAGTCGACTGTAGCGTATAGAGTAGAGACATTTACAGAAACAGCTTGTACTATTCATTAACGTTCAAAGCTGAGGGTCAATAACCGTAGCAGACAGACACACGAAATGTATCGTGAATCCACAATGAGATCGAATTAGCTCCAGATACCGCAGGCAGAGCTCTTAATTTTGTAGATAACCCCTCTAATGCGTGCCTCGAACTCCGATCCAACCAAAAGCTTTTTCAAATAATTCATTTTTATTGACACAATTAATTCATGAATCTTAAATTTTATTTGTACTGATATTTAAGATAAAATAAGATTGTTTCACCTTGAGAAAATATACATTTAAAAAGTAAAAGACAGTGTTGAATCTCAAAACAGGCCTTTTTGTTATAATAGCGAATAATTCTTGTTGTTCCGAACAGATGTTCGCAGGCTCATAATAAGGCGTATCGCATACAAAGCATCGAAATCGGACACCGGAGATAGGGCAGCCCCGATATCACGACAAATAACACTTTACAGTTTTAAAACCTGCTTGCCAAAGAAATATGAAACTTACGACGATTAATATAAAGTTTCCAAGTTTTTTTAATTATCGATAAAAGTTTTGAAGTAATGCGTTTTAAAACATTTTAATTTCGAAGTGTACCTTTATAAATGTAGGTTTATTATTTTAAATTGAAAACTAAGTCTTTATACTGTTAAATAAAATGCTTAATAACATGTTTAACGTAAAATAAGCTCGTATAAAAAAGATTACTGAGAGCGTAATATCCCTTACCTATTGAATTCAGTTGTGTAACCAGTATTGTATGGCTAATGGATATCTATTTGCTGATTTATATCTATTGATGATAATCTACATCCATTCAAATCAACTAAATGGATTCGACGCTCGCACAATTGTAGACCAGTGTTTATGGGGCACATAAAACATGTTTTTTTTTTCATTCACTATTGATGAATCGATATAGAATAAAATCGGATTATGATCTCATAGATTAAAAAAGAAAAAAATGTTTTACATTAATTTAATAAATATTATAAATACATCTACAAAATGGAATCGAAAAACGTAAGAAAAGTTATCGACGAACGGGAACTCAAATCACCGGCCTTATGTAATTGATCCAGGATGTTTTATCTTGATGAGTCCTTTATATGTGCCCCCGACGTGCTACCCTCCCGCTGAATACAGATAAAATCTTTTAAAAGGGTTGCCAACTAAAGATATCACTTAATTTGTAGCCTCTTTTTGTAACTGGCTTTGGGGATTTATACAAAACACATCTTTTTGTCTGCCATTGCTTTTTGCAGGGTTACATGTAAAACTGTATACGTGTGTAGTGTGTGGAGATGGAAAGGTTTTCGATTGAGTTTTTAAAGATTAGGCTCTTAAACGTCTCAATGCTCTGTAATCTGTTTCCTCGATATTTTAGAAGGGCATTTAGAGCTTATCTTCTTAAAGGTTTTTTCATGTTTTGTTAATTTTATTTCGCGATATCAAAATTGAGACAAATGAATGACGCGTGTGCCAAAAACGTCTCGTCGTTTATTGTTAAGTTTTTGTTTGTAACGGGGAGAATAAAATCGTGATTTGAGTATTAGCTCGTTAGCCTTTGTCATTTGTTTGTATTTAATTCGTGCAATAAAAACTTACCTCTGTCAACGATTTTGCCAAACAAGTTTTTCCCTCTAAGGAAATTTCTTGTAGAACAGTTCCATCTTCTGTATTTGAACTGGTGCTGGCATTCCGCCACAGCCATGCTGGCGCCTTTGGCAACTGCAGATAAAACGCCAGGATTCTCTCTTGCTAGCCTTCTCTGCTTCCGCCTCAGAGTTGCGTGAACTGCTGGGTCCATATACAGGACTCCAGGTGATATCGGTGATAGATTATTTGGCTCTCCTGCTTTGGCTATACCCCTGAAACAAAATAGGACTTATTGTAAAGGAAAATCAATGATTCAACGTTAAGCAAAAACCAAAACACAGTGTCCAAAAGCGATAAGATCACTTTTGTCACTGTGGAAGACAATGCCTTACGTTCAAAAAGTTAATAAACATAAAAAAAACGAATATAAACAACCCGAATGCCACTTAAGGCAATGGGTGCAACTCGAAATGAAATGCTCATTTGAAAAGGTAAAGACAACAAACAATTGACGACTGAACTGTCAATCCGCAGACGTTTAGATAAATATTTGCGTCGCGCATTAATCCTTGAGGGCCAAGCGAGTAAACATGGTCTGAGAGCGATCGAGATCACGGCCTGTTGACTTGGCCTCGCTTGACGAACGTAATATTCGGGCTACAATAAAAAAAGGCTCCGGTGCACTCTCGCGCGCGGTGCCTCGCGTTTGGACCGCTGGAAATCGTATTACTTTTCTATTTGCTTTTCTTTGTAGTCGAGTGTTACGTAAATATGAACGTGTTCGTCGTAAATTCTCATTTCCTTCGAGAATTTCATAGAGATTCTGTGGTGATTTTAAAATTTTTGTTCCGCTTTTTGTAATAATCGTCAAACTTAAAGATGATATGGGCACTCAAAAATAAAGATGATATATTAGGATGACAAAACTCAGCTTCGATAACGTCATTGTTTCCATACAAACGTGGGAGGCTATTTAGTAACTGACTCCGTGACAAAAATTAATAACTATTTTTATAAACATATCGCTACCGATGTCTATATTTAGTTCAGATTAAGGAGCGATTACGTTATATTATTTTTATTAGCGAATCCATTTAATTTGATCGCCTGTGTGACTACCGCTGACGGTTTTTTAGAGCTTTAAGCCAGTTCTCTTCCTTTTTATTGAAATAAATGGATATTAATGTAACTATCAACAGCCAATAAGATATTAACTACTTCATTTACACATTTGTCAAAGCAACACTTAATATTTTATAATAGAAGCAACTAACTTAATCAAGTTTATCGTTAATTGACTTTGTTTTTTATAGTCTCGATTTTACAACATGCATTAAGGCTCAGAAAATAAACAGATTATTACTTTTTATATTGTCTAGGATATAAATCAATCATCAAATTTACATGAGTATGAGAAAAACTGTAAGTATTTAAGTGCAATATTTTGGGGGCCGGTTGTATTTACACCCACAAGCACTTTAAAAGAAAACGAGGGGTATCCATATTTGCCTGTCCATAATATAAGGTCCTTTGCACTTGTCACGTTGGTAGAAAACCAAATAGTGGTTTAACACAAAGTCCTCGTGGTAAAAAATTCTGAATGGCTTTCACGAACAAACGTAATGTTTGCACTGAGATAAAGCCTGTGTGAATGTGTAAAAATATTGTCTTTGGATGCTTGTGTCTTCTTGTTTGAGTAATTAAGTGTCGTTCCTGTTATACTTTTAAAACAAAGCAAGGAGAATGTACGAGTGTATTGTATTCAACAGAAAGGAATAGTTATAATTCTATACACTATTACAGAAATGAAAGGACTTTAATGTATAACGTTGTGTTATTGACTTTTCTTTGTTTCGATAAATCAATTCATAGTGTAAGCATCGAATTCAAGACATCGCCAAATAAGTACATTTTTAATATTAAACGAACTACTTACAATCCGTTTCCTCGTAGTTTTGAGTGTTTTTAGTTATGATTAAAAAAGTGATTTAAAGATTACCCATCAACTCTTTTCTAATTCCTAGAAGAATATGAGTAATGTCTATTGGTCTGATCGATTTAAAATTAATTAAACCTTGGTTTCAATGATACTGACTGAACTGATGCTGTATTATAACCTGGAATCAGTAACAGTCTATACTCCTTAATATCTTGAAGAATGTGTTTCGTGTCTGTGCTCATTGGAATAGTGTCAATGGTTAGATTTATTAAATTTTAAAATTTATGCTTGTTCGATTTGACAGCCTCTTTAATTGAGATTGTGTACTGTTTTGTTTGCTAATGTCTTAATATAATATAATCATAAAGAGCTCTAAATATGTATTTACTTAGAATAATGTTTCTAATTATCTGTTTTATCCGAACGGGAAGTACTACTATAAACGGATTTTTACTTACGAAAAAGGTGTGTGTTTGTACGTACGTTTATTGCAACGGTACATGTATTGTCATATGTAACGTATCGTATGCTTCTTTTGTATGTGAGTATAAAATAAATGTAATCATGTAAAATAAGGAACAACTTAACAAGCTCACACTGGATGTAAAACTGGTGCATGATGTTATCTTAAATCTTATTTCTCAAGATCATCTATACCTATTCCCTACATGGTTAAACAAATGACTACATGCACTAAAATAAATATTATCCTCAATACAATTTTCTCGCAATTTTTATTTAGCAACACATGTATTTAAAATGGAAGACTTCATTCGGCACACGCGTCCTGCATACGAATCAGTTCTTTATTATTTAATTTGTTGGCGTCTCGCGAGGCGTCAAAATATCAAAGTTCATAAACCATTTTATATAGATCTTTGTGTACAAACTGAAGTGTTAAATTAAGAACGTGCATATGGTGTTTTATTATAGTGGTTGGAGTTATCAGAGTATCGTGACGCCCGCACGCGATTTCAAGCGTAATGTAATATGGACTACGAGTGATGAATACGAATGAAGTAAGGTGTGGCGATTTCTTTTTAGCTCGAGGCCGTGTACAAAGATTTTATGTGCCTTAGATGATATAGGCATCAGGTAATTAAGAGGACAAAATAATCAATAACTTTTGTAGTCAATTATTTTTAAGTACCTTTGCCTTATTGATGGACTAATTTTTATTCATACACGTGGAAGTCGGTTATCGCGTAAATAATGATAAGAATGAACGCATAGTAATTAACCCAAGTTGTAATATAACGCCCCGGTCTTGTGCCGTCAGGGCCCCGGTATTAGCACGGGCAGCAATTCGAGTGACAAAAATGATAACACAGTACAGTGATATAAAAAAGGGCTATAGGAAGTATAATTCTAATGATCATTATTCTATCCCTCTAAACTCTAGCTGAGTGTACATATTTTTGGTGAATTTTCTAAGTACTTGAGTAGGTATACTAATAAAATTTAATATTTTGATATATTTCCTTTGCACGGAAGCTCCCTCGGATAGTCACCTCACCGAGTCTAAAGAGTAAGGTGGCGTATCCAACTTGCATTGACTAAAACAACAGTGTTCCTTATTTGATTTTTTGCGGGATCTCAGATGTACTTTTGGAAGGAAATCCGCGTGAATCTCGGCAAATATTTTAACATTATAAAACTATTTTAATGTAATTTTCCAATGTTTTTAATGTTTAATGTGTGATGATGTGTACAATATGTGTTAAATAAACTCTTACTAAAAATTAATGAGCCATTAACAACTACAAAAAACATTGCACTTATTTAAAATTTGGTTAATTTTTGCGTTATATCATGTGGATTGCCAATTAATTTTAAATCTGTTCACGTTTAGAGTGTGGGCTTAAAAGTCGAGAGGACCGAGACTGATATACCATCTTCCGGCACTTGATATGAAAATAAGTGATCAGACTTATATTCCATATTACCTTGATAAGATTTATAGTTGAACGTGTACATTTTAAACTTAAAAAAAAGGTTGTATGTTAATCGTGGAGCCTATTAATGTCACGAATGTCATTATGATATCTGCTTTCGATGATAAATGTTCGAAACTCGAAAAATGGTGTGTGTTGCATGCTTTTATTCGATTACCGAATACATAATAAAAGTTATTAGTTTATATTAATCTTTATGAAGCCATAATGCTTGATCTTGTATTGATTGATAATAAAGCTAATGAATGGTAAGCGAATGAGTTTAAAGTTCAAGACTGACATTTCAATTTGAAATTTCAGTAAGAATTAAAAAGATTTTACTTTTTAAAAGAAATAAAGTGTACGTAATAAATCATTGTGACGAATTAAATGCTGGTACTTTTTTATTAAAGTACCACTATTAACACAGTTCACGTAACATTTACGAGTGTTTCTGTAGAAAGTGGGTAAAAATTCCGTTCAAAGAATTCACGCCTCCGTCGCCGTCGGCCCGCGCGGCACACCGATTGTATCGCGCGGTTCTGATGGCTCTTATATGTACGTGTTCATGTTTAAAATAGAAAGTTTTTTCATTTAAAAATCCTAAATGTATTATTTTAATATATAAATTAATAGGTATAATAGAATAGCGGCCAAATGTTTACTATAAAGCTAAATAACACGTTACTTAATAACCATAATGTAACTAAACATTTGTCATATAACGCCGACGGCTAATAGTCGTTATGAAATGTTTCTTTATAATATTTATTTGAAAAAATAACCCACTATAAATCATACCCATACCATAAACTTCTTAGGTTGTGTTCATACATTGTTAATCGAGGTCACAGTTAGACAATAAAAGTCACATTAAAGTTTTGAAAATAAAAGGCATTTTACATAATTATCAGGTACAATTAAAGCATTTTCTTTTTTGCATTTAGATAGAAATGCAAACAGTTATTTTTTTTTGAAATTTAATATTTTCAATAGCAATAAATAGACTACTACTTCTAATAAATATATATATATAAACTTGACTATTGTCCCCCATTACAAATCATTTTTTTAAATAAAATCTAATCATACCTTGTTAAAAAATTGACAAGACTTTTTTTAAACTCTTAAAGGTATCCTATTACACATCACTGACTTTGTTGAACAGCAAAACTATTTACTAAACAACGATATTTTGTTAGTGTCTCCTCCTCTTAATCCGTCAAAATTAATTTTAACTGAGTAATTAAAAAGTGAACACTACTCGTTTTGAACAATTTTTTTCATAGAATAATAGAGAGAATATAGCGCAGAAAAAAGTATTTTTGCTCAACAGAACTAGCTCCGTTACAAGTTAAAATACTTAAAGGGGCTAAAATACTTAAAGGTAAAATACGTAAAGGTACTAAAATACTTTAAGGTTCGGTTAATTTTTTTTGTATATTCTAACCAATTCCAAGTTAATGTTGATTATAACGTTTAAAGGTGCTTTTCATTGTAAGTATCAGTCCAATATTCTTTTAATCATATTTTTTAATGAAAATTACTACCAATATAATCGATTATATTTTAATTGAAGTAATTACTGAACTGATCTAATATCGTCATCCCGTAGAAGACCGTGTTTGAACTTCCACTATTATTAAAGTGTAGTGTTGTTAATCATTATGCTAGGAGCTGACTAACAACTACCCAGGGTGGTAATCACTACACTATTGATGTTGCAAATATTTATAGGTATAGGGACTGTTTATCCAGTGACGAGCCCTGTGCTGTCTGTCAACATAATTCTATAAATAATTTACTTTGTGTGCTGATAAGCGCAACGTTATAGGAACATTGAATAGACTGAACAGAAGAAGAAAGAACTAGAAGAAGATATCTATCACATTTATATTGATCCACAATTTTGAAAATGGAATAACAGAATGATTTGAAATTGAAATGCTGTTTGTATTCATTTTCAATTTCATCACACTTTGTGCTAATATTTTTTTTTGTCTAAAATTAATAATTTATACAAACAAACCATATTTGTATAATGCAATAGCATGCGCCACTGGTTGTTGACATTTTTAATACCTAGATAATGAGTAATACACCTATAAAGAGTATAGACGCGGCTACGTATCGGCCTATGTAAAAAGTATCCTAAATGAAAAAAAAATACATTATACTTAAAATAGATAATTCATTCTATGTTAAAATAATCAGCTCAAAATTAGCATTAAGCACCTACAGTCGATTTTAATAGGTGAGCATAGGTTGACAAAATGGCATAATTTAATACTCAATGTTAATTACTATATTAAGGTGCTTCTATTCTGAGTTGGAAGTGGGCGAAACGCCCAATTCCAACTCAGAAATACAACTCAACTCAACTTTTAGACAAGCTAAACTCTTTTTTCATGATTGGTTCAACACCATCGTGATTTTAACTTAAACCGATTGCGAGTTGAAACCATAATTAGCAAAAACGGTTTATAAAGGCCAACTTCAGAGACAAAAATATGATCTTTCTAACGCATGGTGTCCTACATATATAAAGACACAGCTTCGTTGCTAAATCTTTCTATCTAATCATGAAATTGAAATGATCTTACTTGTAACGAAAGCTATTCTCACAAAAGAATACAAGCGTGATCATTCTAGTGTTCAAGTTATACAAAGACCCGCTACTCTATAGCAATGAGTAATTCGGTCTACGTGCGTGAGTTGAGTGCGTTTAATTATTAAGAACGTTATTTCAGTGTGTACCCGTGTGGATTATATCACTAATAATATGTATATACATATAGGTGTGAGATTATACCAATTAATATGAAAAGGTGTTGCCCAATGCATTATCTATACTGTGTGAATTTTTCTGACGGTAAAATATGCAGCCAAGTTCGACTCCAGCAAAAACCTCGCTATGGAACATAGCCTACCGTAACATTTTTTCTCAAATGTATCAATGTACAAGATTAAAAGAAGTAACATACCGCTTGTTTTTGTGAATGTAAACATTTAATTTATTCCGAGAATCTCATTCGCCCAGAAGCCACTCAGTTTCAATAAGTTCTTTGAGTGTCTAGGATAGACTAAACAATAGCATCGTTATTGCGTTATTAAAATAAACAATCTGCACTTTGTCTAGTTGTCTATGATGTGGGGAAGCCCTGGATTCTTGTAAATATTCTATTTCTGCATAAAGGCAGAGATGTACCTATTACGCAGCTGTGTTCTACTAGCTTATGTTAAACTAGATAATAGGTGACAAAGTTTCTTTTATTCATCGTTACAACGCAACCTCGACGACATAAACACAAAGAATGTAAAGTTGAGACCCCTAAGCTTAATTAAATTCAGTAATTGTTATTTACTACCTACTGTTTAATTTTCATATAAGTTTTAGTTAACATATTTCAGCTCCATACCGGCCATTTAAAATTGATATAATTGAAAGTATTTGAACAAAACATTTTAACTAAGATAAATAATAATATTGAATTATAAACTGTTTGTTTCGCAACGTAAGGACTCATGATGTGTTAAAAACAGTAAGAAACAACATAGTTACGAATCTCAATAATGTACGATTCAATCTATTTCATTTATAAGAAGTTGAACTCGAAATCTCGTTAAAAGAAATAATTAAGTAAAAAATAAATAATGTTAAAATGTTAAACAAGTTTATTAGTATCGTAAATAATCAGCGTTGCGGTCTGCACTTGCGCACTTTCAATATAAGCATAATTAATGTTGCGCTTGATACATTGCTAATTAATGTACTATATTTATGTGTTGTTGGTTTATAATGTGTAAAATGTTGACACTAAATTTGTTCCGACGGTAGTTTGAATACATTTGAGGTGAAATATTACATTTTAATGTTGATAATTTTATGTTAACAGTTATTGGTTTGTACTGTTTATGTGGTTTTATGTTTATTAATTTTCGACTTTTATTTTTAATGTTTTGTTCGCATGAAAGTAAATCTGGTATAGTATTAAGTTAATCTTAAATTAAAGAAGAATAACATAAAAGGATACATATCAATATATTTTTGATTTATTGTGTTATTCGTATTGATGTGAATATATGAAATATAACTCATATACATACATAATGTTAAAAACAATAATTCTTTTTTTTTAAATAAATGTAGGTATATATTTCCATTCATTATTAACAGGAATTTACATTTCAATCATTATTATTAAAATTGTTGTTTTATTTTAAAATATTATTTATAGTTATTCCGCAATTTCAAATCATGAATTTATTTTGTTTAGAACAAAATTAATAATTAGTTTTTTATACTTGTAATATTAATTTATTTTTTGGTTGATATTTCTAAAAATAGAGTTCTAATAGATTTCTTAGTCTATGTGTGGGATTACGTAGGTCGCATACCAGAAGCGAAGTGATAGTGTATGCAAATAAGCCTTGATGCTTCTGTCAGTCACCGAGAACGCAACGGGAGGTGACGAGCAGGACACCTCAGATGTAATTATCACGATAAAAATGTAAAGAGGTTTTGTTTTGTGATAAAAAAGTAACTTATTTGCAGCTTCCTTGTTTTGTTTTGGTACATTTACGTAAATATCCTACCATGCATTTAATATTTGCATACGTTTTTTTTATTATACACGTAAATCAGAAGTTTAACAAAAGTTTCAATTTAGTTTATCAAATGTATCACAAAAACATCGAAATAACAGTTTGTTTTTAATTCTCTTATTGTTAAAAAATCAATTAAAACGAATTCAATTATCACACGCAACCCGTTACGTTTATAGCCAAGTCTTAAAATGTAGTCCACGTTAAATATAAGCTACACTATTATCGATTTCACACTACTACGCAAGTTTTATGCTTCGTTTAATAGTCCGCTAATTATTCGAAGCCCAATTATCTGTTAACAATGTACACAATATAAAATCATTTTACGTCTTATTACGGATGAATATTACGGCTACATTTCATTACACGTACTTTAAGATCAGTTAAAGTATCTTATGGCTTCCTTATTGATATTTAAGTGTGAACCTAACTTTATTACAGAATTAATAATGTTTTTAAGTCTCTGCCTTTATGTCTAATGTATTAATTGTCAAATTTTGACGTATGTGTTCCATTGATAAATTGACATAAGAAATGTCAACATGCAACATACCTACATTATAGATTTAATATTTCGAGAGTAGTACGAGTGAAGAGACACGACTTACCACCACATGCTGCCTCGTCCTCTCCGAGGCTTGTTGGCGGCCTCGCACGTAAAACACAGAAAGATCACAAATAACCACAAGCACTTCATTGCGATGGGCGGACCCGCGGTCACATGAGCGCGGCGCGTCGAGGCACATTTACGTCTGACGGGTACTACTTCGGCACCGCCACGGACATCGAGGCGGGGTCGCCACGGAATTGGTGGGAGGCATCTACCTGACACAGACCGCCCGATTGGTCTCGCACTTCTGTTTTTTTTTCTGAAGTGCTACAAGTAATCTTTGTTTAGGTCATTAGGTTACTTGGTAGTTTGTGTAATTGGATTATGAAGGAGTTGAGCGATTTGTAGAGCTTAGGATAATTAATTTATTGATTAAGTAACAATAGGTTGGTTAACAATGCGCAATTTTTGTTTGTTTTTCTTTTTAATTTTTGTTTATAAAGAATGAAAGTGATCTATATAAACAAGCTTAAGTGCACGTTTTTGAAAATGTATTTTTAACTTCATTACTTGAACTTTTTCATATAGATTTACATCCAATAGTAGCCGTACCATAGATAAATATTTAGATTCAATGTTATGTGTAAGATATTTCTTAGAAAAAATGTGCGACTATGTTTACAGAAGTAAACAATTAGACACAATTAGTTTAGAGTAGGAGTTGCTTTGAAATGCCTTTTATTCATCATTCATTCTCTTTGTTAAATATACCAAAGTAATTTAATTTATCTTTATTAATTTATTTCATTTTAATCAGGTATTTTGGATTAAAAATGTTTCTATATCAAAAAATCCAAGATTTGGTTTATTATGTAGTGTTCATTAATAATAATACTTAGTACGAACTATCTTTACAAAACAAATCAAACATTTTTAATCATCTGTAACATGCACAAGAGAAGAGAAAGAGAGAAGGAAAACTTGATGAAAAAATCCTCAGTACCTATTAGTTAGAATACGTTATTAGTTTATTAGAAAAATATCTGCAATTGTTATAAAATGGTTTATACTTATATATAACATGAAAATAGAAAATACTACACATAAAATATCTATAGAAACAAGTGTGTTCTAGAAACTTGGTCGCACAATGCGTGTGAGTCAGCAGTTCGTGGCCGCGGTGGGAGGGGCGGTGACGTCCAATCAGCGCGCGGCCTGGTTGCGCGCGCGCACCTCGACCGCGACCACGTGCTGTTGAAGCGTCCTACTACAGTCAATTTGAAAACAGGCAAAGCTTTCAAAAATAATTCTTTTTCAAAAAACAAAATTTTAAAATACAAAATCGTTCAAATGGTTTATCCAACGATTTCTTTTTGAATTTTATTTTATTAGTTTTTTTTAGAAAAACTTTTACTTGTGTAAAACCCTATTTTTAAATATTGTAATAGTATATTATGCTTCTGAATTTTGTAAGAAAATTGTATTTTTATTAAAAATATAGTTACTCAATTGGTAATATGGACACTATTTTATTATGAAATGATTATTATATTATTCAGAATAATTATGTTTACTTGATGCTACGTAATATATAATGCGAGCCCTTATAAAGACATCAACGCGGGCGGGCTACGGCATGTTACTATTCACGACCGTATTTATAGTCTGGTATGAAGCTCTTTTCACTAATATTGCTCTAACTTTCTTACGTGTTGAGTTTCTATACATAAAGGCTTTAAAAGATGCACTAAAAACTAAATAATGAAACAGTTTAAAAATATTTTAGCACTTCTTTCTAGTTCTACAACTTTTATAGTTGTAAATAATATTTTTTCTTTTTTTATCCCGAAAAGTTTAAATATGAACTACTTTGAACCACATTTAACTTTGTGATATATTTCAAAATTTTGTAAAAATTCACTATCGCTAACTCGCGGCATCACACTACAGCTAACTAAGTACTTAAAATATTTTAAGTGCCATAAGATATCATAGAACGGAAAGCTATGGCACGAAAATAAACCATTTTAAAAGTAATAAAATATAACATGTCAACTCAAGTGCTGTTAGTATCAACAAAAAGCAGCACGTGTCGATTGCATATGTTGGAACAAGATGGGGTTTGACGCATGAATACGGCATGTGCTCGAACAAGATGCTACTTAATTGAACATTTGTGTTTAAGAGCAAATGAAACCAGCTGTTTGTGGCTCCTAATTGACTTTGCTTGTTCCATTGCCATATTTTTATGACATATTCTGACAAACAATTACCTATATCTTCAAGATTATATATCCGCAATAGGATAAGAAGATAAGTAGCGAAACTCTTTAGTACTCAGTTTAGGTGCAAGAATCAAAATTAAAACTTATAAACGAAAATTTTCAATACAACAAATGGTCAACTGTTTCGTATATAAATCTTTTTTTTTCAGAAATAATTTGTGTATTGGTTTTAGTGGCTAGTGGTAAAGGGCCATGTGACATTAACATAGCCTACAGTGTGAGGCCTTATATGTGAGGGGTGTATACCCACCGACGTATTTAGAACCTTTCTGTTGGGCTACTCTTTCTTAGTATACGTTTATAAAAGATTATGAGCAAAAAACCATCAAATATTTCGACCTTTTTTACAGTCAAAATACCAACCTTATACCTAAAGATACATAACTGCGGGCTATTGTAAATTTCTAATGAAAGCTAATATTTAAAATGTATTAAATTATGATTACTTCATATCTCTTTCATGGAACGACTAATATACGATCAAGGAATATAATAAGATTACAGGGTCCGACATACACTTGTATGCTTACAATGTACGCTAATTGCATCGTGTTGCAACCGGCAATTCTTTTTGTATCGTAAGATGATGCACTTATTATCTCTTCGTATCGATTCTGTATATATCAAAAGCCGTAGAGAACAGGGCAACGTAACTATATTTTAGCGGAAGCTTTGTAGGAACATGCTAATACGTGTTCTTTGTGAGATACGTCAGCCTTTAGGTGAAGGTTGTAGTTACGGGCACATTTCTTTTGTATGTCTTCTTTGCCATGGTTTGGCTGGCCTGTTAGCCTGACTCTGACTACCAAGCTGTAGGTCATGGGTTCGATTCCGACCCAGGATAAATAATTGTGTGATGAGGACGATCATTTGTTCTGTAACTAGGTGTAATTTATTTTTAAAATGTGTGTATTTATAAATATTTGGGTATGTTTACCAGCAATCTGGTAACCATATTACAGACTCTGCCTAGTTTGAATTTAGACTGCCGTGTGTGATATGTGTAAAGTTATTATTACAACTTCAATCAATTCTTCCTGGATAACAAGAAGGTTATGTGCTATCACGGATTATCGAACTAAGTAACAAACGTCTGTGAAAACTTTTGAATTTATAATAGTAGTAAGATTGTTCTGATAAATTTTAACGCCACATTTATCTTAATGGTGTTAGAGTCAGCTTTCGAATACCACTTTTTGCGAAACGAGATCTCTTACCTATAGCAGCTTTGGTTTGGCGTTTAGCTCTCGCTTCTGGCTGATACTGCTAGATATTCAAAATGAAGACCGATCTAGTACAAAAGAAGATCGCTTTTCATTTTGAATATGTTGTTTTAATTAAATAAATATTATAACTTGAACTGGATAGCATGCAGTTGTTTAATATGACAGGTTGAAATATATATTGGTTCGTAATAGTATTATGTAGACGTTACAATGATTGTCACTTATTTTATAAACCTTTAATTTCATTCACAGTTTCCTCTTTATTCACATAAACTTAAAAAACGCGTACAGAGAATTCTCAAATAAAGTAAGTCAATAATTTTAACGGTATCTTAAACTAATAATTAAAACATACACAATTTAGGTGTGTATTGTCGCAAGTCAATAGCATTCCTTCACGCTAGCAAAATCATGCCATAATTTTTGGTAGCCAAGTTAAATGGGCTTTATTTGCAAACTATATAATCCATCAACCTTATTACAAATGCATAAGGTTTTAAATTCCTTACCAGTTTGAATTCAAACCGTAAAGAATTTTCATTCAGTGAAACAGAAGTGTGTTGGACAATGGTTGCCGTGAAATTAAGACTAGTGGGATTGAATACAGTCTCATTACGAGCAGTTAAGCGTTGTTAGGTAATTTAGTAACAACATACGACAAATTAAATTATACCTAATGCATTTGAAAGTAAGGTTGAATTTTGTATACTGTAGTAAAACTTCACGGGCGACTGAATCTCGTGAAGAATTATCAACAGGGGTTGTGAACATAAATTCTATGCATTTTTTTTTCAAGAGCGAATTGTCTCTGGCACACAATATGATAAGGGAGTTGAATCAATTGGTTTTGTTCAAATTTTGAATGAATTTGGAATTCGTGTATGTAACTGCTACGTGGAATGTGTCAGAAGTGATTGTGGCGTGAGGTTCGCATAAATCATTTTTATGATAAATAACATTGCTGGCCTGCTTCTTATCCACTCATTATATTATTTTTATTGATTTGATTTGATAATGTAAATGACATAAGCCTTCTCCTTTCATAAAATTCCCGGCTACCCGGGACAGGGTTTTACTAGGCGCGGCGATGATCCGAGGGAGCCTGAAATAACATGGTCGGGTCCTCCTCGGAGTAGGGCGCCTGAGTCCGGCCGTCGGGATCGTTTTTAGTTGAACCACTACATGCTCCTGGCTCCTACATCCCCAAGGAGCTGAAGATCCGAAGGGATTTTCCTTCCCGTCAACAAAAACAAAGTCCTACCTGGTATGAACGAGGAAAGAAATCATGTAGTAAGTCTTAGAAGTGCATGTTTCATCCATTAACCTAAACATTTTACCAAGAAGCAAATCGTAGGTTTGTTTATAACCTTAGTAATACAAAGCATTCCACAAACATTAATAAATTTACTTAAAGCAAATACCTATAGACTCAAATACAACACCAAAACTTAAAGCAAATACGAAAAACAATATGTACCTAATTTTTTCTCAAACTTCTTCAGAAATTATTCGTTTGCACAATCACCTAGCAAACTATGTTTATTTCAAACAACTATGAACAACCGACAGCTTACTGCCAAAAATAAACAAGAAATAGAAAAAAACACTGATTCACAGCCTCTCCCATCCCTTGCTT